TACATTAGCTATCTAAACATACAGGTTCTACCAACCTATCTTTATCAACAAGTATCTAGCACCTCCAATTCGTAGAATTTTCAATTTCAAGTCAGCTCTACAGCATGACCATCGTCAGACATCCTTCTACCATGATGTCCATGTCCAAATTGCTTGAATAATGCACGAGATTTGTCCGCCCTGGCATCCCATACTGCGTCAATGTCATTCAAGCTACGTCCCAGAGTTTCTGGAACGAACAACATGCAGACAATCGTAGTGATTACTGCAAGCATGTGGGTAACAGAGCAGAGATACAAATAACGACCACTCACATAGACAGGCTCCGAAGAGAAAGTACGGTCCAGAGGGTGACTTTGCAAGGAACAAGGGTGTAGTCAGTGCAACACAAAGATTGACGATCCAATTCGCGCTATGAGAGAGGGAGGATGCAATCGCTCTGGTGCGTGGTGGCTGCACTTCGATGATAAAGAGCTTGGAATGGACTCAGGATCATGAAGCGACAACTATCAGGAAGCAGCAAACCTTGATTACAATCGCCCATGTGATTGAAAACAAGATGACAAAAACCTAATGATGCGACATTAGCAAGGCTCATGGAGCGGTAGACATGGCTTACATATATTAGAGAGATAATCGTCCACTTTCCAGCAAAGGTTTTCGAACCTCCAGTGGCATACAGCATCCCAATGGCGATCATGCAGACCGACATCAGAGCCCCTCCCCAAATGCTCGATGGTCGTCTTCCCCATTTGTCCATGAGGTATAACTGAGCTGGGATAGTTGAGCTATAATTGCTATCATCAGCGCTAGAAGAGTGGCAACGTCCATTTGGCTTACACCACTAGCACTATACCAGAGATTCCCGAGGCTAAGAAGGAAGATTGTTGGCTGCTGAGACCTGTCGACAACTAAATATCAACGCAAACAACTTGAACAATATTTCGGCTCACCAGCTTGGGTGAAAATCAAAGGTGCAAAGTACAAGACAGCATCAATCCCACTCAGTTGCTAGACATGGAGTTGGGCTAAGCAATTAAACAAGTCGCCGATCAATGTTTACGTACCTGCATTCCCATGGGAAACATTGCCAAGATTGTCCTCCATTTAGTGGTACTCTCAGCAAAGGTCTCGCGAAGGGACGCTTCGGAACGCCCATCCGTTCCCCTGGCTTCGTTCATAACTTTTTCCTGCTCGGCACCCGGTGTATTGAATTGGTCCATCACTTTCATGGCTTCTTCAATTCTTCCAACCTGGATTAACCAACGCGGCGAATACGGTAAAAACTCCATACCGGCGCCCAACACGAACGTGACACATGATTGGACGATAAACGGAGTTCGCCAAGACAGGCTAGAGTTCCATCGGGTCGTACCGTAACAAATAAAGTATCCTGACATGATTCCTAGAGTAACTGCGGGCAAAAACAGTGGTAAGCCTTAACCAGCAACCGAGCTTCCATCTAAGTATACTACCAACGCACTGAAGAGTTGCAACATGGTGGAGATTCGACCTCGCACTACATTGAAACCATCAGCTGGTGAGAATAACCATATAACCGGGACTCCTTACGTTTGGGAGGTGAAATTTCGATCAAGTAGACTAATAGTGCCATCAACACCTTGATTGCACAATTTCGAAATGACATCACTCACCACCTGCAGCAGACAGGAACATGCCTTCTCCAACTAGTGTGCAATTGATTACAACGATCGAACATGAGATACTTTCAATTACACACCTCCAGCGATTAAGCGTCCGACAATCAGCATGGCCGTATGTACACTAGCGGCTTCAAGGGCGCTTCCCAATGATGAAATAAATGAACCAATCATAATGGTCCTTTTTCGTGATAGTTTATCGCTCATCCAACCGGAGAAAAAACTTGTGACCGATGCAGAAATAAGAATCTGTGGCATTTACCCCAAGGTTAGCATTCAAGATTGATACAAGTCTAATATCACCGCACCGTTGCCACCAGTAAACCTTGAATTGCATGGCTTCGAAACTCTTTGAATGTCTCCAAAAATCGTGGCATTACGGTAATGGGCCCTATGGAGCCTACGAGATAAGGTATGAGATTGAATCGACTCGCAATGTGGCTTCTCGTTTACCTGTATCCATACCAAAGAACAGCCCAGCGAGGCTTACAAAAGCTGAGATTCCGTATATACTTAGTCCTGCTTCGTCCATGGTAGTTGT